CCCTTTTGAGAAAGCAAAAGTTATTTTAATTGTTTTGTAATTTGCTAAGTGCAATTGGATGGATAACAAAAAAAAAAAAAAAAAGAGTCTTAGCACCAAAAGCAAGAGCATGGATACAGACAGCAAGATACAATGCAATGATGATGCCTTTTCTTCCCTTTTGAGAAAGCAAAAGTTATTTTAATTGTTTTGTAATTTGTTGAGTGCAATTGGACGAATAACAAAAAAAAGGAGGAGTCTTAGCACCAAAAGCAAGAGCATGGAGACAGACAGCAAGATACAATGCAATGATGATGCCTTTTCTTCCCTTTTAAGAAAGCAAAAGTTATTTTAATTGTTTTGTAATTTGCTGAGTGCAATTGGACGGATAACAAAAAAAAAAAGGAGTCTTAGCACCGAAAGCAAGAGCATGGAGACAAACAGCAAGATGCAGTGCAAGCAGTATAGCAAAGAAGAACGTCCATAGCAGAAGGAAGTTATGGCCGTCCTATTTGGTTTATGGCCAATTTATGGGATCAACATTGCTTGAATAAAGCAATTAGATCATCACAATATCACAATATGAGGAAACAGATTCACACATCAAAAAATAAATAAAAAAGAAGTGTAAAATAATAAAAAAAAAAAAAAGGCAATGATGGCCATCATTGCTTTGAAAGATGGATTCGTATGAAACAAAAAATAAAAAATATATAATAAAGTAAAAAAATTAATAATAATAAAAAAATACATTGAATGAAACGAAACTCATTTATTGATTTCTTTAAAAATTTACATAAATGTACATTTTACATGAGTAAAAAAAAAAAAAAAAAAAAAAAAGGAGCCTTCACAAAGGTTGATCAGGTGACGCCTCATCATTCGGCAGAACTCCAGGAAGAAGAGGCGCTAGAGGTTGATTGTTTGGAGCCTTAACACTCGGTAAAACTCTAGAGGACGAAGGCAATAGGTGCATCTGGAGTAAAGCCACAAACATCTTATGGTCACTCTGAATCCTTTCGGATTCTTGAAGCTAGTCAAGTTTTCTCTTCATGCTCGTCGAGTAACTATTGGCAAGCATGTGCAACTCTCTGTTTTCATGCTTAAGCCCTCTAATCTCTTGCTTAAGACTCGCCACCTCAGTCCTTAGTGACTCAACTTGACGAGTTCGAGCAAGAAGGCGTTGGCCCATATTTGATACGGAGCTCGCACACTGAACACTGAAAGCCAGAGAGTCTTGAACAGCCAGCTTATCAGACCGCCTGGAAAGGATCCTGTTGTCCTTGGGGGTGAGAAGATTTCTAGTTACCACCGTAACGGTTATGTCATTCTTCATCACAGAGTCCCCAACTGTAAGAGGACTGGTGGAGGATAAGAATGATGGATGCCATACGTTGTCTAGAGAAGACATATAGGTCGGGTAAATCGAATTCTCAGAAATACAAAAAAAAGAGGGAAATTTCTACATGCGGCAACTCTCTAAGTGTGTTTTCGAACACGATTAATGCCTCTATAAAAAAAAGAGGCAACATGGCCGTTCAGAGATCGAAGAGGCACCGCTTTCCTAATTTCAAAAGGACTGGCTTTTCTGGATTTGTCAGCACCTTCCACATGTAACCTCAGCTTTGCAGAAAGCACGGGCAACTTTGTCAAAGATTTATGACAAATTCCAAAACGCTTGAATCTTATTGTTTTAATTACCCAATGGTTGTTGACAAGAGTAAAATAATAGTACCACTACTGGCTATCGAGAAATTCCTATATATGTCGACCTTCATCCTCCATAGCAAAGCAAACTTGCAAAAATGCCCAACTCTTCCTCACCTTCGAGAGTACACTCCCAGCAGAGCCTCTCAAAATACTCAGTTTTCTTCCTCTCCAGGAATACCTCTATAAACAAATGACACCAAAGAAAAAGTATCTCATATCATCAGGGTAGAAAGTAAGAGTATCTCATATCATGCTTTTTCCCTGTCTTTTCCTTTACCCTTGCTCTTACCTGCAAGACAAGGAGAAAGAAGGCAATCAGTCGGAACCTGAAATCAAACTTCCGATCTGGAAATGATTTCCCGGAACCTTTGCCTAGTTGCTTACCTTGCATTGCTCTTGGGTATTCATCATCACTGAGAAGTAATACTCTGAAGGACCATTTAAATGCAAAGGTTGCATTCCACTCTTGCATCATGGGCAAATACTGCAAGAGATCGAAGCAGAATGATCAATGATGAGCTGGAACAGATCACTATAGCACGACACCCTTTCTTGCAGAACCGCATAACCCAAATGGAGGAGTTTAAATCAAATCCAAACTCGGCATCGTTGCCCTAATCAAAGAGCTCGAGAAGCTTCAATATCCTTTCGCTAGCACCATTACCGAAGATCAAAACCTCGCTGTGCAACGCAGTCAAATCGCCACCACTCATTCGAAAGCAAGAGTATCTCATATCATGCTTTCTCCCTATCATTTTCTTTGTCATTGTTCTTACCTGCAGGACAATAAGAAAGAGAGCAATCAGTCGGAACTTGAAGTTAAACTCCCAGTCAAGAACCAACTACCTGGAACCCTTCCATGATTGCTTACCTAGCATCACTCTGCCAAGGAAATAGACAAGGCATCAGAAGATACCACATCTGCCTGAAGAACAGATAAGGAAAGTGAAAATGATACATTGAAGCATGTGGAGACAAGCAAAGCAAAACACATGCCGATTCATTTGCTACTTCTTCAAAAGCAAAAATATCTCATATCATCAGGGTTGCAAGTACTCTAGATTTGGCGGACTTGTTTTGACCCTCAAATTCTTGAGTTGACTCGCTAGGCGTTGTGAGCTGCACATGCCAATTCACCACCTTTGAATCAAATCCTTAAAGATCAAGTCACCAACTTGAAGAAATCAAGTCCGATTCAAGATCAAGTATCCACCCTCTTTGAACCAAATTCAGCTCCAGATAAAAGGAGTAAATCTAGACATTTTGATGCAAGTCTAGCAGAAGAAAACCCTAGCCCAGTTCAAGAATAAGCCTGTGGAAAGTCAACAATTGGAGGAAACCAGAAAATCCTCCAACCTAGTTCAAGATCAAAGCTGTGGAAAGTCAACAAACGCAACAAAATACGTGCCGATTCATGCACTACCAAAGCCAAAGATCACCTACCACGTGAAGCTCCTTGTGGTCCAATTTAATTCAAGATCAAGCCTCGACGGCCCTTGAAGAAATTTCAAACAAAGTTCAAGAACAAGCCTCAACGACCCTTGAAGAAATCTCCAGCCTAATTCAAGATCAAGTCTCGATGGCCCTTGGATCAACATTTACATTAAGGGACTTCAAAACACATCTCCTACACGTGACAAGCACATGTATACAACGCGCCTTGAAGTGGGGGCATTTGTAGACTTCGAAATTTCAATGAAATAAATGTTGACCAATAATTACAATTTCAACACTGACATGTCATATAAATTTTTACACGTAGCATGTGACTAAATGAAAAATCAAAATAAATCGGAAAAGTCATCAAATAAGGACACATGTCAACACCTGGCAGAAATGATTTATTTCATCTGAATATTATATTCAAAATTAGGCCTTGAAAAAATTCTATAAATACAAGGCCATTTCATTCATTTTAGAACACCAATTCATAACCAATTCACATCACACCAAAACCTTGAAGCTTTGAAACTCTAAAGCTCCCAAGCCAATCCCGAAGGATCAAGAAATCTCTCTTCGTTCTTCGTCAAATCCTCCTTCAAGATCAAGCCCCAACGGCTCTTAAAGAACTTCCACCAATTCAAGATCAAGCCCCAACGGCCCTTGAAGAACTTCCACCAATTCAAGATCAAGCCCCGACGGCCCTTGAATAAAGTGTTCATCGTTCATTGTCCGTTCATCCTAAGATCAAGCCCCAACAGCCCTTTGGATCAACAACATCAACAAATCCACACATCCAACCGTTCTTCAAGATTAAGTCTAAAAGCTCTTGAAGATCCGTTCACCCATCAACCTTCAAGATTAAGTCCAAAAGCCCTTGAAGAATTCCGCATAACCATTCTTCAAAATCAAGCCCAAAAGCCCCTTGAAGATCCGTTTGTCAACCTTCAAGATCAAGCCCCAACAACCCTTGGATCAACAGCACAATCCACAAATTTACGCATTATGAAGATCGAATCAGAGGCTAAATTTGTAGAAGAAATTGTAACCCCTAAATCATTAATACAAATATTATTTTGTACACGTGTTCTTGTCTCATTCATTGCAGGAATATTCGTGTTTACAAGCTCATTTAAGACTGCTAGGGCTCTGTGGGAGTCATTAGACAAGAAACATCGCACCGAAGATGCTAGAATGAAGAAATTCATTACAGGTCGTTTTCTTGACTACATTATGGTGGACTTCAAAATAGTCATCAGTTAAGTCCAAGAACTCCAACTTCTTTTGCATGAAATTCATGCATAAAAGATGTAGTTGAGTGAATCATCCCAAGTGGCTGCTACAATTGAAAAATTATCACATTCTTGGAAAGATTTCAAGACTTATCTCAGGCACAAGCGCAAAGAGATGAGACTTGAGGATTTGATTGTCAGGCTAAAGAATTGAGGAAGACAACCGTGATTCTAAAGAAAAAAAAACTGGTGGAAACTCCATGGGTCAAGAAACAAGAAAAAAAGGAAGCATAAAGCCAAGGGAATTCAAAGAAAAATAATGAATTCAAGGGCAAGTGCTTTAGTTGCAACAAACCTAGTAACAGAGCAACAAATTGTTAAAACCATAAAAACCAGGGTAGTTTCAAGAAAAACAATAGGAAAACCACCTTTTGGAAAACTATTGGTTGGAGCTTCCGCAAAACAATTGCTTGTCAAACAAGTAAATATTAAATCAAAGAGAATCATAAAAATTACTACTTTTCTGTCATTGTAAATTATTTATTCCCAAGAGAATTTAGCATAAATAATCGAGTAAAGAAAGGATCCATACAAAGATTTATTTATAGCACAAACTCAGTTCCCTAAACAGAAGCCGAAAATGGAGGAAAAAGAATTATAAGCTTGTAAATAGCGCGCATGGAAGAATATAACAGCTTAATTGGCCTGATAAATATGTGTTCCGTTTGTCTATTCAATCTTAGTCCAGTCCGATCCACACTGTACTAGTTATCAAATCTTGTCCATATCAATGTTTCGGAAGTCCAATGTTGAATGAGATCTGCGGAACTGAGACAGTGCACTGCCTTCAGTATGGTTGATGATATCTTTTATCGAGGCCTGCAAGAGCGTGAAGTTGTTGATGTTCTTAAGAATATCGGGATTGATGTTCTTCAAAGCATTAGGATGACCTTCGGTGGTTGGGAACCGTTTTTGGTGAGACCGAATTATTGGAGAAAGAGATGCATGCAAGTTGCCATATATGCTGTTGCTTCTTCTGCTTGTGTTGAAAGTATAGGAGGAAGTGCTGCTGCTTGCACTGTTGCCTGTCTCTTGGTCTTGGTCTTGGCTATGCATGCTTCCCGTTTCACTATGGATGCTTCCCATATCCTGGCTGTGCCAACTTCCCATTACTTGCCGGTACATGTTTGGTTCCGCCTTCTTTTCCAGCTGCGAAAACTAAACAAGTACAAAAACCATATTTGTACATCGATCGTCATGAGCTATGCGTATATGTATATCAATCACATGCATATGCAGTACAATATTACGACTCCATTTATAAATAAGAGGCGATAGTAATTCAATAGTTACCTTATCTAGTCAGAGAATACAGATCGGAAAATACTCTAATTTTACAGGTTTCTTCAAAGAATTTTCTAAGGATAATGATAGTTTCATTTATTATGTAAGGCGATGGTATTCACATACCGTTTTTCACCGTATGCACACCATGTTTAATTCTAACATTTGGATCGATTAAAATAATGTTCACATTTCATTTCTCTTCTCAAAACTACTAAATTAGGGAGACACCGCCAAGAAACTTGTGAAACACATAACAGTTTAACTGAATTACCCAATTAAGTGGAACTAAGAAAAGGATTAATTAATGGATAATTCAAATGAAAATCTTGATTTAAGATCAGAGATTTATGAAGGTGCAGAATTTACTTCATTAGAAGATTCAAATCCTCCACCGACCTCTTGAACCTTTCTCTGAACCAGTCCGCGATTTGTTTGAGACAGTTGCTTTGGTTTGGAAGTCCTGCTTGTACATAATTAAGATGGAAAAGCACACTAATTAGCAATTGTGTTTTGGTGGCATTTAAATAAAAGCCCTCGCTAGATTTCATAATTTCTTGAAGATTTTTACAAGATTCAAGACAGTCGTTGTGAGGGTTCCGTTTCTGTAACTCTTCATTACAGAAAACCATTTTGCTATGAACATAATGCACCATGTCTAATGTCAATCAAACATCGGAATATGCCTTCTTAACCACCCAAAAAACAGAAACAGCAAATCTAGCATGTAATGAATGATGGAAAAATGCAATTGATACGCTAATGAATTTGTAAAATTGTACACTCGAAGGATGTATTGATCAAATGTTAATATTATGTAAAGCGAGATTAGATCATCCCGATATCATCAGCTTGAAGGGGTAGATTATCCCAATTTGCGTTATGTAAAGTAAGATTTGATCAAACGTTAAAAACTTCATAAAAACAAATTATAAATTCTAGTATGGGTCATCTTTCCTTCTTTCAGTCTATTGTAATGCCTAAATTAATCAAAATAGTGAACGAAAGTAAATTGCAATGTATAATTGAAATGTGAAATAGCATACTTCTTCCGATCCTTGGCGTGAGTGCGTTCGTCCTCCTCTTTATACATTACTGGTAGAGCTGAAAGGTCACATGCCAACGGACTCGAACTAAAAAACTGAAACCAGAAAGAATTTACAATTTGTAAATACATGTTGAGGGGATACTAAAAGGGAAGCTAGGGACCAAAAAGAAGTAACGGAAAATATTGATTACACGAAGAAAGAGCTTCTGATTGTACTCACTTGACTTTGGAGAGCAGAAGCAGCACTGCCACGAGATGCCGGGTCCAGAGCAAGAAGTGTTGTTAAGAGATCAAATGATGATCTTGAGAAGTCCCTGAAGAATTCTTCATAACTAGGTTTGTAATGTTGTGGTGGTCGGAAGCTTGTTGGTAACTTCATTTTCTTCCAGTAATCCTCTCCGGGTAAACCACAAAGCTTGAAGATCTTATGAAGTTGCTCAACCTGAATACACAAATTAATGTCTCTGCCTATGTAAGTTCTCAAAAATGATGGTGGGATCAATCGATGATTCCTTGTGTGAATATAATTGAAGTTTCTGGTGTTGAAAACGAAGTTTAGGATAAAATCATTTTACCTCGGTCCTCCCAGGCATAACTGGCCTCCCAACAAACATCTCTGCCAACAGGCATCCTGCACTCCAAAGATCAATACCAACTCCATAATCTGTAGAACCTAACAAGAGCTCTGGCGCTCTGTACCAGAGTGTCACAACTCGGCTTGTAAGAGGACGTTTCTTAGGAGGGAAAAAATTTGCAAGCCCAAAATCTGCAATTTTCAACATCCCATTTCTGTCTATTAGCAAGTTGGAAGCTTTAATGTCTCGGTGTAAAATCCCGTTTTCATGGCAGTGCTGGAGACCAGCAAGAAGCTGCTGCATATAGCACTTGACCTGTATGAAAGATAAAAAGGAAAGAAAAAAAAAAACTTCCTAAATCTGTCTGTCTGATCATTTATTACTATGAATTCCACACCATTTCCGTTACACTCTTAGTTCATCTGTACTTACGCGCACATATAAGCCCAAAAGCTACATAACATATATAGATGAAACAAATTTTTAGGTGTAGGGATAGATGACGAGGAAAAATGCCAACCTGGGGTTCAGTGAGCCTCTTTCCAGGACGTGAGATTACTCTAGTCAAGTCGGACTGCATGACATCAAAGACGAGATATAGACTATACTGCATTCTTGATGTAGCTACCCCTTCAAGCTTGATGATATTGGGATGATCTAGCTTCTGTAGCATCGTTATCTCCCTCGCCATAAACTTGACACTCTCTGGCTCTGATGTGTCAAACCGGACTTTTTTCAAAGCGACAATCTTTTTGGTGTCCCTGTCACGAGCTTTGTACACATTGCTGTAGGTTCCCTGCCCTATCTACAACAAAACAAACAAAATATCAAAACCCAGATTCAGGTTGCTTGTCCACCAAGAAATCCCAACATCCTTATTCAAACAAATTAGTAAGTGGAGTCTGTCTAGAGGAGTAATAAGTTACCTTAGCAAGTTTATCATAGGAGTCCGCAGTCTTTGGAACGAAACCAGCCAAGACATCTTGAGGCACATTCTCAACCAACCACTTTGGCCAGCCATTCACAATATCATCATCTCCTCCAATCTTCTCCAACGTCATCCTTCCCGAAACATTCCCACCGTTCTTACCTCTCTCTTTCTCTCGAACAACCAAACCTTCTCCTCCTCCTCCTCCTCCTCCTCCTCCTGCTCCACCGGTTCTACCACCATCAGCAATCTTATCCTCCCCATTGAACACCGGCTTAATCTCCTTCCTCGAGTGTTTTTGGGTAACGGGTCTTCCTCCAGTGCTCCCCTTGACATAGCCATTGTCCCATTTCAACTTGTCAAGGACTTGAAGGTTATGACTTGGGGAGTTAGTTTTCGTCTGAACACAACCCATTAAGTCTCTGACCGACTTTGGAGTGGACGATATCACCTAGGCGGTGGCAGCAATGGTGGTGGTGGTGAGCAATGACAGCACGGTAAATCCAGTGATTCCAATTAATGAAGAGATAGTTGGTAATTGGTACAAATTTTTCAGAAAATGCGAAATGGAAACAAGAGCGAGTGACACTGGCGTTTCTTGGCCGGCATTGCCTCGGAATTATACCAACCATTACATTGTCTTTGTAGTCGGCTCCTCTTTCTCCGCCTTCATAGAAATCAACATTCAAATATATATATATGTAGGGAAGTGTTATTGGCCTCCAAAAATCTCATTATACACTCCTCACAAGTATATTTTTCTTTCTTAATATAGAAAGTTTGAAGTGTAGAATGAGATATTTGGAGTGCTAATAATAATTCCCTATATATATACATAGAGCCTTTAAATAGAGGGATCCCCATTTTAAAAAAAAATGGGGACACTCTCATGACCGTTGGATTGGTTTTAATGAAATTATGTGGTTGAAATTAAATCACAGGCCACACAATCTCAACCACATAATTTTATTAAAGTCAAATCTAACAGTAAAGAGGATGTCCCCATTTTTTTATGAAAAGTGAGGATCCCTCTTGTTAAAGGATCTGTGTGTGTGTGTGTATATATATATATATATTTTGTTAAAAATATATATATTTTGTTAAAAATATATATATTGTTGTAGGCCTATTTAATTGAATTAATCTAAGGGATTAGAGAGAGAGGGGGCTGGCGGTAGCAAGATGGAAGAGAGAAATTTAATTGTGAGGTGTATGTTATATCACCCCCATTGTGCCTTTATTTATTGTAGTATAATATGTAAAAACCTTATCCTTTTAGGATTACAACTCTTAATAAGTAATCAACTCCTAATATGAATATAAGAGATATCCCTATATCTACTAGGATTTACACAATCACATTCATATTCTAAATATGACTGCAACACTCCCCCTTGAGTGTGTAAATACTCAATAAACCATCACATTAGATCTTCAACATATAAGGTAGAATAGTTGATGAAATTATCTGCACAACGGGTGAATGCGAGTCTCAAATTTAAAGAAAGTATATATTGGTAGTACAACGCACAAAACCTTGCTATGGTAAAACCTAAGGCATGGGGAAAAACCCATAGACTAAGGAGAAAAGTGAGAAGTATTTATAATGTCTAAAAGAAACGTCAGATAGGACGAAAGTAGTGAACTTAATGGAGTATGATCATCCCAGGATGGGTGCCTCATCAAAATCGCGTTAGGTAGCAAAAACCCAGTGGGAAAAATGCTCCTAATCATAGGAAAAAAAGTACATTAATATCAATTGAGTATGCTTCAAGATACTCCCCCTGAGTTAGACATAACTTAAAAATAAGAGAACTACAGGCGATTCGATCCAGATAATTTACACATTCCGATTCCTTGGATGAGCTTCTGAAAAGTAGACTTGGGCAATGACTTGGTGAAGAGATCGGCCAGGTTGTCCTGGGAATGAATTTGCTTGACTTCAATGTTCTGATGTTGTTACTGCTGGTGTGAGTAAAAGAACATCGACGCTATGTGTTTGGTGTTGTCTCCTGATGAGTCGATATTTTACTATATATTTTACCCTATTCTTAGTATCAATTTATTTGTTATTTTGGTAGAATTTTGATACTTTGATTTATATTCTTAATGTAGGATATTTAACTTCCTCTAGAGCAAAAAGTATTCAAACAGATGAATTTTGAAGTGATTCCAATTGGAGGATATTCGTGTGCCTTTCAAGATGATTGTATCAAAATTCCAGATTTTTCTACCAAGCTGTTTGACCGTGGTGATGAAATTAAGGCCCAGCGTGCAGCTTTCCCAGATTGACATTTCTGGACATTTTAGGTATTTTGGAGGTCAAGATGGCATATTTTGAGGAAGATTTCTTCTGAGGATTTGTAGGGGACTTCTTCAGCTTTCAAACAAGACATTTTGGGATCAAATCGGAGTTGATTTGGTCGGTTAAAAGACTAATTTTCTAAGAATTCCGAATTCTAGTTCAAATAGGAAACCTTTTATTTTCTGTTTTATCATTTAATTATGTTTCCTAGTTTTATTCTAAAACCTTTTACTAGGAGGATTTTAATTAGAGTAGTATAAATAAGGCTTGTTAGCCATTAGGGTTTTTTTTACGAAACATTAGGGGAGAACACATTTTGGCTTTAGAGAGCTTTTGAGGATTCAAGTTTATTTTCAAGGTGTTTTCTATCCATGTTAATAATAATATTTTATTTTATGATTGTTCATAAATAGTTTCATTTGCTAGGGCAATGCCTTGATCCTTAGCAAGAATATGTAGTTTCTTTTCAATTTACTTATGATATTATGCATGCATGTTTTGAATTATTAATTATTGTTTTAAACTATCTAATTGTCTTGATGATTGGCCACCATTAGGATTTTTAGAAAAGTAATTTGATGCAATTTTGGTCGGAATATTCCCTAAAATTGGCGCTGGCTTCTTGTGGTTAATAATTGTAATTTCTCTTAAGATGAACACCACGTCTTAAGGCTTGCATGGTTTTTCAAAGGATTTTCATAAAGCAAAATGAGTCTTTCATGTTCAGATTTGATCTGAACGTTCAATTAGAATATAAATTAGGAAAACCTAACCTTCAAAACATGTATGTGTAATTCATAAGTAATTGGAAGAACTACATATGATTGTTAAGGTGACCGCGGAACCCTAGGCTTTTACAATTTACTTTTCAAAAACCGTTTTCTTTTAGTTTATTTTATTTTGTCACTTTATTTAATTATTTTCTATTAAATTCGTTTTTATTATTTGAAATCACAAAATCAACCTTTTTTTTCAAAACTTTGTTTCAAGTAATTAATTAAGATTTGATTTGTTACAAATTATTCATTCAATCCCTGAGGAGAACGACCTTGCTAGAGCCGACTATACTACAATTACCTTGTACTCTTGCAAGTATTTATAGTGTTTTTATCCCTACTTTTGCAGGTGGTAAAAACCCTATCATCTCCCTTGATGTATCCCTTCTTTAACTGCTCGATACATGTTGCCTTGTCTTCAAAGATCGTCGTAGGAAGGTCAACGACAAAAGTAAAACCACTAGTGCTTCGAATATGTTTCATAACTGCTCTCAACCAAAAGCACTTATGTGATGATTCATGCAGGGCGAGAATCTCAGCATGGTTCGAAGAAGTTGCAATTAGAGTTTACTTGGTAGACCTCCAAGATATAGCGGTGTCTCCAACAGTAAAGACATAGCCTGTTTGAGAACATGCCCTATGTGGGCCAAATAGATATCCAACCTATGCGTAATCAACAAGGCGAGAATCAATTCGAGAATCATAAGGGGTGGCAACATTCTAAGATTCATGGGTATAGAACAAGCCCAAATCCGTCATACCTTTGAGGTAGCAGAAAATGTCTTTAACACCATTCCAGTGCCTGCGTGTGGGCGCATTGCTGTATCTAGCGAAAAGACTAACAGCGAAGGAGATGTAGGGTCTAGTGCATTGAGCCAAGTATAATAAAGCACCAATTGCACTTAAGTATGGAATTTCGGGTTTCAAAATCTCTTCCTCATCCTCCTTTGGACGGAAGGGATCTCGTTTAGCATCTAGAGTACGAACGACCATAGATGTACTCGAAGGCTTCGCTTTATCCTCATTAAAACGTTGCAACACCTTTTAGGTGTAGTTCGATTTATGTACTAGGATTCCATCCGAACAATGCTCGATCTCCAAGCTGAGACAATATCAATTTTTCTCAAGATCTTTCATCTGAAATTCCGATTTCAAGTGTGCATCAATTTCCTCAAGCTTTACGGGAGTTCCAATGAGGTTCATGTCGTCGACATAAACTGTAACAATTGAAAATCCGGAATATAACTTCTTTATGAACACGCTACGGGTATAATTTATTGTTCACATAACCCTGACTTGTCAAATATTCACTCAGACGGTTATACCACATCCACCCGGATTGTTTTAATTTGTAGAGTGACCTCGTCAATATAATTGAGAGAGTGTTCCGTGGTCTAGAACTATTTGAACCAGTCAATGGAAGTCCTTCTGGAACTTTCACATATATTTCCGTATCTAGATCCCCATAGAGATACGCAGTTACCACATCCATAAGCTGCATATTCAGGTTTTTCAAAAACTACCAAATTGATTAGGTAGCGAAACATTATAACGTCCATTACAGGGGAATACGTCTCTTCGTAATCAATCTCAGGGCCCTGAGAGAAGCCTTGCACTATGAGGCGTGCCTTGTACACACTATTTCATTCTTCTCATTACACGTTCTCACGAAAAGCCACTTGTAGCCAACAAGCTTCACATGTGATGGTGTAGATACAATAGGTCCAAACACTTTACGTTTCGCAAGCGAATCGAGTTCGACCTAGATTGCTTGTTTCTAGTTTGACCAATCGGTTCTACGTTGGCATTTATTAACAGAACGTGGTTCAATCATTCAATGTCATCGCTAAGCATAATGTCAATAGCTACTGTGTATGCAAATGCATCGTCGACGATCATCTCATTCCTATTCCAAACCTCATCCAATACTGCGTAGTGGTTTGAAATCTTGCAATTCTCAAGAGGCTGGGTTATCTCATCTAAGACATCACCATAATCTAGAATAACCTTATGCGTTGGAATGGACGCGTGACCGATGGTAAGATTCAAACTAGGGTCACTAGTTGGTGCCGTTTTCCTCTTCCGGGGTTGTGAATCATTTGAACCAATGGGTCTACCATGATCTTTTGATCCACAACGATAACACATATTCATTTCAGTGGAAGTTGACTGAACAGGAGCTTTGCTCTTATTCTTGAAGTTTAGGGCTTTAGGGGCAAGGGGTGGACGCTACTAGGTCACATTTCCTCCCTTGGTGCCGGCACTTTGTGGATCTTGGGCCCATGGTGGGGCTTGCTGTCCATTACCACGGCCACGACGATTCTTTCATCTAAAGGTAGGCAAACGAGTATAGGAATTACGGGTCGAGGCGAGTAATCACGGTTTGGGACGGGTACAGGCCGGTTCCTAATATTTTAGAGAACAAACGAGGTGGGTCGGGCCAGGTCCTTTTCATTTACGGGGTGGGCTGAGTCCAGATACTTATAATAAAGGGGTACCCATACCGACCCGTTTCTAATTATAATGAACGGCTGAGATTGACTTATAACCTATCATCCAATCTCAACCTTTAGTTTCTACCCTAGGTTCTACACGAGTCCAAGCCAAGGTTCCAGAATCACAGATGCCTCTCTATCCCTCTCTCTTGCTCATCTCTTTCCCTCTCGCTCCATCTCTTTCCCTCTCCTCCATCTCTCACGCATCAATGCCTTCAACCTTTACTAATAGTTATTGCAGCCTCTTTGTAGTGGTTAGTTGATCTTATCTTTGATTTGTAGTGGGTTTTCTTGTTTTAATCAATTTTGATGATTTTAGTTTCATTTTTTGAATAATATTTTGGATTTAGAATAATAATTTAGGGTGGTTAGATGAAATATTTTTGGATTTGAAACCCTAAGATCTTATCAACCTTTTGGTTCATGTATTCAATTTTGGGGTTATTGTATTTTTTTTTCTTTTTTGGGTGAATTAATTACTTTCTGAAATTAGATGAGGATTAATTAACCATAGTTTTAGAAAGCATCAAGAGTTTAGTTACTTTAGTACTTGTTTCTTTCATGGTTGATTTTATGATCTTTGATTTTTTAGAGGTGTAGGGGTGTTCTAATGTGTTAATGAAATTATGTTCAAGTGGGAGTTTAAATGCTAGAGGCCACAGACGTAGTTCATCTCTTTTAGCGTGATTTATTTTGGTTTGCATGATTTGTCAAAGTTGTATTTATATGTGAACGTATTACACATACTAGCACTCTTCTATGTATATTTGTATTGTTGATATTCAGTCGTTCACCCCCACCCTGGGAAAGATCTCGTTCCTAAGAACCAGCAGGAATATGCAGCAGCCTCTTTGAAGCATAAGTTATAGATAGAAATGATTCTATGCTTACTGTTCTATTTAATTAATCCGTTCAAGGATATAGGAATAGGCTAGGTGATCTATGTGTTCAATTTGTGCAATCTGTGCAGTTGCTGTGTGATATGTGCAACTACACATAAATGATGTGCAATATGTGCAGTTGCTGTGCAATTGTCTTGCACTCTTGAAGATGGAGTAATGTTGGACGTTTAATGTTATTGCAGATGTTAATGTGGATGTTATTTCAATTTTAATGTTTATGTTTTTTTGGATTTGGAATAGCATGCAAAAGCTTGAAGCTTGAGGCAGCTCTTGTAATTTTTGAAAACGTCTGTATTGCTGCAATGTTGTTGTGCACTATAGTGTAGTTTTATAAAAACGTATTTTTTGAAAGAAAAAAAAGAAAAAAAAATAAAGTTAGACCCGTGGACCCACCTTGGACTGGCTTGTTTGAAACGGTCCGGGTTAGGTCCGATTTCAAAACTTATAATCTCTCTACCCGGCACGGCCCGCCTCATGCCCACCTCCGATTTCAAAACTTAAAATCTCTCTACCCGGCACGGCCCGCCTCATGCCCACCCCTACTTTCGTCGTTTGTGGCTACTAGAATTGGTCGGGTGCGCTTCAGGTGCGGCGTTCGATCCAGTCGGTTGGGCTTGATGATTCTTTATCAAAAGCTGGTTTTGCTTTTCAATGAAAAGTGGGATAGAGATCAAATCCAAAAATTTGGTGAATTTCTATGCCCTATATTGTTGCTACAGGACTATTGGTGGCACGGAAGGTCGAAAAGGTATTCTCTAGGAGATCTGATTCGATTAGTTCCACTTTACAGAACTTCAGCAGTGATATGATTCTACAAACTTTAGAGTTGTATTCATTCACATACTTAAAGTCTTGGAAGCGAAGATGTTGTCAGTCGTGTCTTGCTTCAGGCAAGTATATGTCTTTCTGGTGATCGAAACGGTCGGCCAAAGCAAGCCAAAAGGTGCGTGGGTCCTCCTCAGTGAGGTACTCGGTCTGCAGGGCATCATGAATGTGTCTTCGTCGACAGGGTTGTCGTCGATGGATGCCTCGATGGTGGCTCTAATACCCTTTACAGTAACATGGAGCTTCATGTTTTAAACCCACTTTAGGTAGTTTTTTTCCGGACACTTCCGGAGCAGTGAAATCGAGCTTGTTTAAGTTTGACATGTCCCTAAAACAGAGGTGATTAGTCATATGGTGATCCATAGACATATATCGTAGAACATTCAGGTTCTATAGACATATGGTAAGTTTTGAATGAAAACTTCAAGTTTCAAAGGCACTAAATATGAAACTAGAGGTTCAATTTAGTTTTTATGAATGATTAGTTCATAAAGGAGAGGTTCATGTAAGAAACACAGAATGTAATATTCTGATTTAAGTGTAGTGGATTTGAGTTTCTTCGGGAACTCAAGTGTGAGAGCTTCGTTACTACGAAAGTATGTCAACGGTTCAAAGTATAAAAATAAATTATTGAATCGTTAATGTCTAAAAGTGATATTCAGGTCAATAATTTTGGATTCATTATATCGTTAATGGACTGCAGGTTACTTTTAATTAATTTAATAGATTGGGACCAAACAGGGTCGATCGTGGAAGCAAAATAATGCCAAAAATAATAGCATTGGGTCGAAAAAACATAGCCCAAAAAGTTCGGCTAGTGGCTGTGAGTAGGGGGCTTGGGTGTGGCTGCAATAGCAACTCATAAGTGGCTATAGGCCACGGGCCGAGACAAGAAGCCCAGCAGCAAGCCGTTGGCGTTTGGGCTGAATAGAGGGTACAGTCAGGCCTAGCGGAATGCTAGTCTTGTGTCTGGGTCGGGGCAACTGCAACCCATCAGACAAAGCTGCGAGAAGCAGGCCAGGGTGCAGGGTAAAGCCCAGCAACCTAATGTTGCTGGCAATGCAAGCCGGGTTCACAAGGACAAGTCTAGGAAGGTCGCGGATTTCCTTAAAGAGCAGGCTGGGACTTTAGGCCCATGTAGGTCAACCAGGCCGAAGGCTTGGGGGTGTCCGTGTGGTTGCAGCAAGGCCTAGAGGGCTGCTGCTGTGGTGGTGGTACCGCATAGTGCCCAATGCCATATATATATATATTTTTTTTTTTTTCGACATGGTTAGGGTTTGAAAAAACCCTAGAATTGCTTCTAATTTATTTATATGCTTTGACTCACAAATTCCACATAGCAATTTAATTACATAATGCATGAAACAAATATATATATATATATATATATATATATATTGACAAAAATATGAACATATACAATATATATATATATATATATATATATATATATATATATATATATATATTATCGAAAGGAAAATATAAACATAGAGGGGTTTATGCATCATAAGGAATGTTTTCATGATTCGTGGACGTTTCAAATATCTTCCTTTAGTTTAAGCGTACCTAATTGGCAGAAAACAAAGAAGAGCCTTTGAATTTTGTGGAAGATAGTCTCCTCCTAGGATCCGTCAATTCCTCAACTTTAGTCAAGAGCATGCTGATAACGTGTTGTATGCCTATTTGATTGAATTAATCTAAGGGATTAGAGAAAGAGAGCCGGCGGTAGCAAGAGGAAAGAGAGAGATTTAATTGTGAGGTGTGTGTTGTATCACTCTCATTGTGCTTTTATTTATAGTAGTAGGATAGGTAAAAACCTTACTCTTTTAGGATTACAACTCTTAATAGGTAATCAACTCCTAATAGGAATATAAGAGATATCCCTATATCTACTAGGATTTACACAATCACATTCTTATTCTAAATATGACTGCAACGTGTGTGTGTGTGTGTGTGTGTGTACACACATATTTCATATTTCGAGGAAGACTTTAATGAAAGAGATCTCTATTTTTTTTCATAAAAATAGGGATTAGTTGTTGGGTCCACACCAAATCAAACTTTAACGATCCAAACTGTTTATTTTTCAAATTGCACTTCACAGATCATTCTTGCAAAATATTAGCCACATCGGAAATATTTGAGGCATCTAATTAAGTTCAAAGAAATTGACGAATATGTTCTCTAAAATACATTGAAATTTCATTGTGATAATTAAATAGATAAATGATTTCGGATTGAATTGAATTTTTGCAAAAATAATCTATAAATTGAAACTTACAAAATAAACAGTCCCAATTTTGTGTGTATATGGTATTTATTTATTGCTTTGTAAAAGGACTTGGTACGGTGTTCTCAAGAAAATTGAAAGGGCCAGCACACCACATCCCCAGATTTCATAATCAGTCCCATTTTCTTCATCATTACAATTTACATCCACTTCCTTCTACCCTTTTTCATTTACCCAAAAATTAAAAGGAAAACAAATTTTGCAAACGGGAGGGCACAAAAATCCCCATCGTTAGAATGCACACAATATTCCGCATAACCACAAACGCTTCTAATAATATTTGGCACAAAAGTTACAAGTGTTGGTTGTAAAAGCATTTCGGTTTTTATTAAAATTTTGGACACGCACTTCAAGTCAAAGCTCTTACGAGCGAAAGTGCTTGATCAAGTACTTCCAAACGGTACAAAATTTTAACAATAATCTAAATGCTTGCTGGAAGAAAAACTTTCAACCTTTTCTCCCTTTTCCCAAAAAAAAAAAAAAAAGTCTTTAACGTTGTCAGAAGCACATTTGGTTATATGAGCGCTTTTAGTAACACATCAATTCATCTAATATTCATTTTGTCAAGTCCAGCTCAAATAAATTTGGCAAGCTTCCACAACTGTACCAAGCATTGATCTGAGTATTCGGCTACTTAACAAATCCACCGATGCTGCTTGTACTCTCTCCAGTGATGAGCTTCTGGGAAACGGGGAGGCCAAGATCAAACGGCCCCAAGGAGTCGGTCTGTGTGTGTCCAAGCAGTAAATTAAAACCATTAGCAATTTACAATTTCGGAAACTTCAAAACAATCAAATCACTTTCGATAAGATATTCAAATACCCATTTGATGCCTGACAGCCCAAGACTTCTGTCATCGTTGTTCACTCGCGAACAAATCATGAGAGCTGTATTCGATTCCTGACAAGCACGCTGGTCTTGCGGCAGCCCATCTACATTGTTAGACTGCAATAGACATCCAACATAAGATATTCTCATTTTACTTCAGGTTTTCAAAGGCTTGAATGGCCCAAGTGAGTTCATACCCCTGACAAGGAACACAGCTACATGCTGTTTCAAATCTTGACAAAGCCTTTATCCCAGTGACTTTGGGATGATACTAGTGAGAATTAAATAGCCTAAAAATAGCCTCGCCATATGATATTACACGCTATAGGCGAAGGCTTTCGTGCCTTGCTGTTAAGTAAGGTGGAAGCTAGCTACTTGCTTGTTAAAGGTGCTTAAAGAGACTTACGCAGGACGTTAAAAAAACAAAGCAATGTATTGACGTTGTCGTCCTATCCTGATCAAGTAAACTTTTGAAAGGTGTACAAAACCAAACAGATGATTAATACATCAATGGATAAGATATACCAGAAGTGACTGATCAATCAGGTTCTTTTAAGTCTTAACAATATAAAAAAGTAAACGACAGACAAATTTGATATCTCATTTAACCAAATCAAAGGTTATAACACCCTTCAATGTCAAGACATTCCGAAACTTGACTTCAATATACTAAATATTCACCATGCCCCATTTCAAGACAAGTTCTGATTACCAGTTAAAACAATTTCAGGTTGATGAAAAATCCAAATATATTTATGGAGTAGGAAGATCTATGGAATTTATCATACCAATCCAACAAAGTAGTGTTCGAAGCATAGTTAATTTAAATGAGACCGAAGCCACAAAACATGAAACACAGATTTAAACAACATAAAAATAGCTCAGTTGCAATAACAGAATGAAATGCATGAATAGAACTCAGCTAACCTTTGCTGCATTAGGGAACTTGAATAGTTTAGAACCAGGATTCTGGTTGAAACCTCCACGACTTCCACCAAACCCCAGAACATCTTTTCCCGACAAAGATAATTTTTGAGAAGGAAATGCATGGCAAGTTTCTTCAGCATCAAAAATAGATAAGCATGAGTCATGAGTGGATGGCCTTTGACCTTGCGGATGTGGCAAGCCTGCATTGCTCTCAACTGGTTGTGCATAAAATTGATCGAGCTTGCCCTGCATGGATGCTTCAGACAAGAGGCCACCAATGCTTATAGAAGGACAATCCCACAATGCAAATGACTTTGAATCATTTTTTGTTTCAGTAGGATGAAAGCCTTCATTTTTCCCAATTTGTTTTTCTTCACTGTTATTGCACTTGGCCTGTAAAGATGCTTCAGAAAGTAGGCCTCCAATGCTTATATTAGTTACACTGTCAAGCAAAAGTGGTTCCTGAGTATGGTTACCCATCCTCCTCCGAATATCATCCTAATTATAATAAGAGAGAAAACTTCAGACAATCATTAAAAATACATCAAAGAAACATGTTGCATAAAAGTAAAACCTATAGCTCTACCCAACAAATTTTCCATCTGGGATTTTAAATTTTGAACAAAGGGACAGAATAATTATCAAGACTTGTATTCTCAACCCAACATTTCATCACATCTATATATTGCATTCCGGTTTGCATTTCCAGCTTAATGCATTTCATTCATAATCACCAGAAACAATCAGAATTCAAACTCATAGTAATATTTTAAGAGATTAAGAACCAAAATATCCGAGGTAAAGTAGGAGTAGCCGCGTTTGAAGATAAGATGAGAGAAAATCAGTTAAGGTGGTTTTGACATGTGAACCGAAGACCTACAGAGGCTCCGATTAGAAGATGCAATTATGAGACAGAGGCTCAAAAATGGTTAGAGGAAGACCTAGGAAGACTTGGAAAGAGACTCTAAGAAAAGACATGGAGTACTTGGAGCTAACGGAAGACTTGGCGCAAAACTAAGGGCAGTGGCGTTCTAGGATTCATACAGCCGATCCCACTTAGTGGGATAAGGCTTTGTTGTTGTTGTTGTAGTATAGTGATATTTTTAAGGTTAACCCATTTAAGGTATGTGATCGCACACACATGAATAAAAGAACAAACAATCAAACAGTGAAAGATTCAGCGGAAAATTTTACCTTGAGATCAACAACTCCAGTAGAAATATTCTCAGTATCTGCATTTATTGTTTCTCTTGCATTGATTGATCTGAAATCTTTTGTTGCTAACACAGTGTGTTTCCCTAATTCATCATATACATTCTCTGTGGCGGCGCTTCTACATCTCTGTTCGACCTCAGATTGTAAGTCATTAGCTGATGTTGAAGGTTGATCAGCACCTTTAGGTTCAGAAGAGAGCCAGCCATACCTTAAGAAGCATATCAAGTCAGAAAAATTAAATAATATACGTTGACTAACAAAATTGAGTAAAGACTTATACCTTAAGCGAAAAACTGCAGGGCATCCAATAGCTGCATAGACAGCTCCGGCACTAATGTCTCCATCATTCAGTGTCCATCTTCTGTTACTAGACATACTGTCATGCATCTTATATGGGAATAGAACCGGCTCATTAAGAGCAACGCTTGAATTCCCCCACTTGTCATTAAGGTGCTTTAGCACAGAAGTAATCTTCTTCTGTGGTCTAAGAATGAGTTCTAAATATGGATGATGTCCATCCTGAAAATGAAATAAAAGGAAAACAAACTCAGAAATTAAAGTGACAAAATCTTTTAGCTTGCAGATACATAGTGCTGTTCTAATTTTTCATATCTTCATGATTTATGATCAACCTTTTCCAATCGTATGCGAGTGACTTCATTTACAGGGAAAAGCTGCAACTTGATCTTTGACTGCGGAAGAAGTATTTTCCCTTGACAACACTCAAGATCAGGTGGTCCCTTTGTTATTCCTGAAAAGGGCCCACCTTTGTCAGGAAGCTTCAAACACATGCCATCAGCACGCCCACCTTTCCCTAAGAAGGATAAGATGCAACTAATTCAAGGAATGCCCAAGATAGGCGCAATTGAAAATTCAATATGCATAACATCTCAGAGCATGGACAGGCTAATCAAATCAAAGGACATTGGTCTAGAATTATTTGTAATATTTTGTGGAAAACCTTCTACATGCAAGAAAGTACAAGAATGACCAGTTGAGTTAAAAGCATTCAAGCATTACTCAGATGAGATTTCCTACCTGTTGCTTTGGGGCAGACTCGGGTAGTTCTCCCTGTTTTCTGTTCTCTCATGCTACTTCCCATACCTGCTCTGCTTTCTATAGGAACCTTGATCACCTTCCTGTTTGTTTCTCTACAAACTTTCATGCTGGTTTGGCTTCACCGATCTTTAGCCTACTGTCACGCAGTCCTTCTCCTAAGTAAGACAATACTGCCTTTTTTGCAGGCTTCAACGAAATTGGATATCAAGAAAGAACTAATTAATTGGTGTACACCAAGAGTGTTCCATTTTTGTTTAAATTTCTGTTTCTCGTTTTCTTCTATATGAAACCAGAGCCTATATCGTTTGAATGGCACGAAAGCTACGCTGCCCTGTCTCACACATATTATCCTAATTGTTTCCTGCAATTTTCTACCCAAAACATAGATTTCTTAATAACCTGCGCGAAACAAAACCCGAAGCACAAATGACCAGCCAATTAAAATTCTGCACTGTAACGATCCCGTGCTCTCGTCAGTCCAAGTTCAACTCTTCCAAATTGACACTCCAAATTCGAAAATTTGAGAATTCTCCGTATTAAATTAAACGAATTTGAGATTTAATTTAAAGTTTGAAGATCAACCCCTTGCTAGAATTATACACACACACACACACGGAATCCCAGTAACTACAGGAGCTAGGGTTTCGATGAATACCCATATAAACAAACGAAAGTAAATTAAACGATTCTGAATGAAAATAGTGTGCCCTAATTTCTCGTAATGGAGACCCAAACAATAAAGAATAAAAAAACACAATTGAATCTGTAAACATATATAGCTCTTGGGTCGAATCACTTTACCATAATTTAGAAGAGAGAGAATCGTACCTTAATAGGAAGAGGGGAGAGAGAGAGAGATTGGCGGGAATGAATCTGGAATTTACAAAGCTCTGTTTGAGTTTGAGTGGGTCTCCACTTATACATACAGCCGACTTAGACCAAATGCAATTGATGGGAGAGGATAAAAGCTGAAAATTGGGCTAAAATAGGTCTCGGAGAAAAAAAGATTTTGGGCCTGATTCTCCCAAAGTTTAATTTTGGAATAAGCCACTTAGTACAACGGTACAGTGATATTTCTCTTTACTTGCAAAGAGGTCTTAGTTCAATTCTCGTCAAATGTGAATTTAAATCATATTATTGCTAACTCATTGTGAGGTTAAGTTCACCTCGTCCCCTTAATGTCGATAATATCGTTTGTTAAAAAAAAAACAATTCTGGTATAAGCACGCCCCGTTTTTCCCCCATCCGCAGCCTACCGACGTGTGCTACGCATGCCACGCGACAAAAGCATCAGCTGCTGGGTTCCACGCTGACGTGTGTGTCTACCACTTGCAACAAGCTCAAAGGCTCTTTTTTGAGTAGTACAAAAAAACTACCTTTAAGTATGGATCAGACCACAATCTAATACATTATGTTTTAAAAATTGTAATGTCATACCTCAATTTATGAATTCGTTGCAATATCACACCTACATTAATCTTTTTGTTAATTTGACTGTTAACTGATAATGTGGCAAGAGCATGGCCCACTCCTTCGCTAACTAGAATAAAAAATTAATTAATTAATTAATAATTTATTTATTTATTATTAATAAAAAATTATAATTTAATAGTCAAATTGACGAAAACTTAACGGAGGTATAACATTGCCACGAATTCATAAGTTGAAGTGTGACATTACAATGTTTAAAACATGAGGTATGAGATTAGGGTTCAACCCATAGTTAAGGTAGTTTTGTGTAATTTATCCTTTTTTATTTAATCAGACGGTTGTAACATTTGGTTGATCCAATGATCTAAATTTAAATTTAAAGCACTCCCCCCTCAAATATTATGGGGGGGGTTTGTTTGTGTTAGAGCAAGGTCTACCCGTTGTAGGAGAGTAAGGGTAAGGGCAAGGCACTTGAATTACCCTTACTATTCACTTTAAACAGTAGTTACCTTTGTGCAACTCAACCCTTTCAAAAAGGAAAGGATGATGGCAAGGGCGATGGCTATTCACAAAAAAAATATATATATATTGTTATTCTTTTTATGTTTTATTGGCCTTATCTTCCACATGTCATTATCACCTAAATTTTTGATGAGATTTTCAATAAATGACAAAGATACTTGTTTGTAAGTGTGTTATGTGTAATTGTGTTACTTGTAGGTGTGTTGAACTTTGTAAGTTTGTTTAAGTGTGTTTAAGAAGAGTGTAATAAAAATAAATATTGAGTTGTGGTGTGGTGTTGTGTGGAGAATGAATAAGATGGTAAGGTAAAACATAATAAAAAATATTTTTTGTACTTTGTATTTTGTATTTTTATTTTTACTGTTGAATTAATCCTGATTGTTGAATTCCAAAATTTTATGAAATTAGATACAACAGATGATGCCACGTAACACAACTTATAAAATCCAATTTTTTTTACTGTTGGACAAAGTTCTAAAAGACGCTAGGCGCTAGTCAGGCGGTGTGCTGAGGCCTAGCGCCTAGGCGGACTAAGCGAATTTAAGTAAATCTATTGTATTTCATGTAAATAAGTGTCTGTTTATACTTAAAATATATATAATTTCATCATAAACTATAAAATAGAATGACATATATATTATGAAGTATTGGACATAATGGAAGCATGGAGAGCAAACATATAATGTATGTTTATTTAAGTATTCAATAAGTCTTACAGTTTATTGAAAATAATAAAATGTAAAAGGAAAGTTATTTATTTTCTATCTAAATGAGTTGCAACCTAGGCATGTGTCTAGGAGGGTCTGGGTGGGTTAGTTAGGCTAAACGAATGTATAGGCGGTCTAGGCGGGCGCCTCAACAGGTCTAGGCACCCTTTCTTAATTTTCAAACGCCTAAGTATTAATCGGAACGATGGTCAGCAGCCTACGCTTAGGCGTCGCTAGACAAGGATTTTTAGAACAATGTTGTTGGAAATTCAATGACCTCAGTTGAGAGGACCGTTGAAAATCAACAGTTGAGAGAGATGCTGCAGGCTCAGTGCATTGCACGGGGCCCTGTTGGCTGACGTCGCCCTGGCGTAAATTGACTGAGCAGCCCAATAGTAGTGGTGGAGTCCAGCAATCGGCCACCCCCTCCCTCCATTTTTAGGTCAGTGGATGTGGGTTTTTGGGGATTCCTGCCTTCTTAACAAACTTGTGGACATGCTCTTAAGTAGGCCTAATTGAGCTTTTCGTGTTGGACCTTTTAGCTAAAGTGGTGTAGCTTTCATTTCTATTTTGGGTTTTAAGGCTCTATTTGAAAGGAAAAATAAAACATTAGTTTTCAGTTTTATGGGAGTCATACATATCATCTCTCACTTGCGAAGCAAATTACATAGTACGAGTACATTGTCACATAATGTTCTATGTCAATGAAACAAGAACACATGGATAGAAAAACTTACATACATCTTTATTTCATTAGCATAAGACGCGTCTTTATTTCATTAGCATAAGACGCCACTGTGACAGTGTACTTGTGTCATGTAAGTCTTTCTCCCTACTTATAAATGAAGAAGAATTGTGAAGACCTATATTTATATATATAAAGAGATACTTATTTTAATCAAATAAGTCTAATAGACTTTTACGGTAGTATTTGACTTAAAAGCTATATTTTTATATTATTCATTTTAATTTTGTAATGGTTCAGTACTATGGTTTGATGATATTCCTCTTTATTTGAAAGTGAGAGATTTTTTTTTTTTGAAAAACAATATATTTTACACTAGGGGGAGGACGGAGTTCGGCTAAGTCATATAATGGACAACCTAATTTACCTCTATATCGTGTTTCATATCTGTTGGTTTGTATTATACATGTATGTATATCTGCGTAGACGTATGGCTATCAGACCTTACAATTGGAGATCATCTTACCTACACAAAAGTGATAGGACAGAACCTATATATAATTATCACATGCTAAATATTATCTCTTATCTTTATTATAGGTTGTTGTATAGAAGAAGACTCAAGCATGGTAATTAATTCGAACATATATCCTTCTTATTGGTTTTAAGAGAAACTATATATGTATATGCTGGTATTCATGCATATAACTTTGCACGAGCCTGAGTAAACCAAGCTAGCTTTCTCGGCATGGAACTGTCTGCATATGTTCATAGATATAGTTTCAACTGTATCAAGTATAGCATGTGTTTAGAGTTGATCAACATATAATAACTTGTAAATTAGTATTGCGGAATCGGTATACTTAAATATGTTAATTAGGATTAGGGTTCATGTCATGCATTTGGTAATTTGCTCATATATGTGAATAGGATTTTATCAAGGTGGTGAACTATTACAAAGTTGGAGCAATGTTTTGGAATTTAGGTAGGAGAAATACAACAAACCTTTACATGGATTGATTTTATTAAATCGTGAAGTACTATATTCGTGTTGTTTGAGTAAAGTGGTTGGGTGTTATTTGGATTATTGCTTCAGTTGGTTGTTTACCTATTATTACTACTGGAATGTTATAGTTGAGATATATTGTGACATATGAAAGATGAACTGATGTTAATTGTGCATCATTCATGTGTGTGAAGTGGTTACAACTTCGATGTTGAGAAAGGAATTAGAAATAAGGGTAGTTGGAAATGATCTTTTGTGTAGTTGAGCCAAACTCTTAGTAGGTACCGGGTCTCAAGCAAGCCCATAATGCATAGATTCTTTAAGGGTAATTCAGAATTGGTGATGAAGAGTTTAGGCAAGATGATTAACAAAAGGGAAAATTGGGATGATTGAGTTACAAGGGGGTTAATTTGTATAATAGAACACTCAAACCACCGTTGCAAAGGTAAAATGCATGGTATGGGTCGTGCAGGTCCGCGTGTTTTATTATATTAATTAATGGGTAGAGATGAGCATTGCACTCATGCATTGTTACCGATAGTAATTTGATATTTGGTTACATGATTTTAGGACACTTAATTAGTATTGTCAATTTACTGTGATAAGGTTATGTCCGTACTGAGCTTTTGAAGCTCACTCCTTTATTGTTATGCAGGTTTACGAGCTAAACAATCGAAATGGTAGGCAGGATGAGATCAGATTAGATGTGAGGATAGAGAATTTATGTTAGAAATTTAATATTTAAATATTAGTATTATTAATATTTAAATATTAAATATTCAAGTGAATGAAAAATTAAAGTGGTCATGGAAAGGTTTGACCAGCATATTTTAAGGGCTGTGTATGTTTGAAAGGGCTGCATGGCTGCAGCTTTTTGTCATTTGGAAACTGATGCAATTTTGAATAAAGATTGCATCTCTTGACCTGGAAGCAGCCGCAATCTCTGGAAACAAATGCAACTTTAAACAAAGGTTGCATCCTTTGTCTTTTGGAAAGCAGACACAATCTTTGAAAATGGGGCATGTCAATGTCTATAAATAGACCACCAAGTCAAGCATTTTAGAAATACTTTGCATTCATAAATCATATAGAAATTAGAGTAGTTTAGTGTTCAACAAAGAGAGAGTTTTAAACACTTTTGGTTCACTGTTCTTTGTGGATTGGAGTGCTACTTCCGCAAAGAGAAAGATCGTTGTATCCTGGGAGACATTTGCCAATGCAAACCTTGAGGCACCACTGAAGGGCAATCTTGTCTTAAGGCTATAGAATCAAATTCTAGCCTCGATTGTTGGAAATATGCCCTGAAAGTCAATCTTTGGAAGAAACCTTTCGGGACAATAAATGGATGTATAGACGACTCTTATACATCAAATGGCAAAGATACTATTTAGGACTATCTCTATAAACGATATATGTCCTAAATGGTGAATCCATGGACAATGGATCGATTGAAGAAGTAATCTAATGAAGTTAGACTACAGAGACCTTCTTCACATAACCATCATGTCCAAAAGGTTCATGGTCATAGGATTGTCGGAGGGATACTGACAATGCATAGAGCGGTACATACTATTTCCGCTTCAATTAGAAGGATGGAAAGTCTC